CACATACATACATACATACATACATACATACATACATACATACATACATACACACATCATACATACATACATACATACATACATACATACATACATACATACATACATACATAGATACATTACATACAGTCATCCATGCATACATGTGTATGTATGTATAGATAGATAGATAATAGGATTTCAATTTTTTTAAGGTTTTAGGAAAACCTCAGTGTCACAGCCTCGCCCGACAGAAGAGGGGGCAACCGAAGCAGCGTCGTCAATGTCGGAGTCGAAGATCAACCGGGGCTCGCTCACGGCCCGGTCGAGCACGTCTTCGGGTGGCCGAGGTACGGAGATAAGCTCATCTAGCACTTTTTTTTCGACGTTGTTGGTGACATAAGTCGTACGACTCTTGTCGCTCCAACAGATGGAGGGATTCCAGGAGTCCGGACCTGCCAGTGGCATCGGAAGCCTAATGCTCTGGTTCCCGTTCGAGACGTGCTGCGAGCCGTCCGTGCCCACGAAGATCGTCATCTTCGCCAGGGCGAACTTGCGGAACAAGCGGTATTTTCGAAGCTCCGGCACCAGCGCAGCCAGGGGTCCTGCGGTGATGAAGGTTAGAAATAGCAAGCGGGGGAGCTAGCATATATATATATATATACACACACACATATGTATGTTTGTGTGTACTGTGTATACATACATAGTTTTTACTCTATTACGAGAACCCGATTCGAAGCAAGTTACAGTTACCCACAAAGCAGAACCACACAGACGAGTTATCTTATCAATCTTAACTACAGACTCTGCCCAATGCATGGATGACCACCTCACTAAGCGCTGGGGACCAGCAATGGACGAGCGGCTGTCAAGGTGTCGCTCTCCGGCGCGCTTGCGCCTCTCATGCTCGTTGGTGAACCAATCGAACAGCTTCTGACCTGACCCGTGGAACTATTATTTATTTCAGGCTTCACAAGGACAACTAACTAGACAAGTCCACCATGAACTCTCAGTGACTCTCTCTTTCTCTCTCTAGCCACAACCCTCCTCCAATCAACTGTACATGATGTTTAGGTAGGGTTTAAGTTAAGGGGCTGTCCAAGATCTCTCTGTCTCAGTTTTGGTTGCAACAACTGAAGATGCCCGCGCTCGAAGGTCGGGAGGCGTTGATCGTAATTATGCCCCATCGCATAGCAGAGCACATCCTGAGACTGAGCTTGATCCAGTGTCGAAATTCTGATTTTGTTCCACCAAAGCTTATGGGTTCATGAGTCCAAGAGGCTGCTCGGTCCTCGAGGGTAAGGCTCTGGATCTGCGTATCCGTACATATGATTGGATCCACGCATGGGAGCGCCCGGTCCAAGTCTTTCTCGGGGAGCTTCGCAAAGGTTGCAAACTTTGAGTTAAGCTTCGCAGCCTCCCCAGTCGCCCGTCGTTTGGGCTGGAGGGGTGCCTTCTCTCCCTTCTTCTGAGAAGGCTTCGGATTCGGCTGCCGCCCACGTTTGCCTGGATGGTGAGCGGCTAGAGAGGCGCTGTTTGGGCTTGGGGTCAGGGGCTTGGGGTTCGGGGTTTAGGGTTTTGGGTTCGGGGTTTAAGGTTTAGAGTTTAGAACAGGGGAGGGTTCTAGAAGGGTTGTATTAGTATTAGAGCTAGAGGTTTAGGGTATACTAATTAGTATACAGTTTAGAACAAGGTTCTGGAAGGGTTCGAGTGATAAGGGCTCCATAGGGCTATGCTGTTCCAGCCTGCGACCTTGGGCTTGTCATCATCATCTGTCGGAGCTCGCTGAGGAGCCTGCATGAGTGAACTGGCAGGCCGTCCGGGGGGCCGTGTAGTAGGCCGAAACGAAGCCCCCGCAGTCACAGGCACCATGGCAAAGCGATCGGGATCTGCCATTTGATGCACTGCAAGGCACCAAAAGGCAAGGGACACACAAAGCTCCAGCGCTGGCCCTGGCACTGCACTTGACGCACGGCGACTACACCACGAAGCACGCACTAGGAACTTGCAACAGCACATGCGAACTGCAATCCATCTCAGAGAGCAATAAAGCCCGCACGTCCCGTCCACTTTCACATTCACTGTCCACGGTCATTCTAGGGCCGTTTCTTGAAGGCCGCCATCCAGGTAGACAACAGAACTCCTATGCAGCATACATGCATGCCGTTCCCTAGTTGTTTGCGGGCATCCGATACCGCAGCGGGTCAAACAGTTCAACATTCGCAGCTTCGGCTAGGCAAGCATAAGTAGGGAAGCCCATGAGAGCGTACAGCTCTTTGAGTGTAACTTGCCGGGCCTTTTGAACGGCTATGTACAAGGACGTTGACCGTCTCAAAGTAGGAACAGCATGTGACTTGGCACTCCAGTTAAGCCACCCCCCGTCTCGGGGATTATCACCTATGTGCACGACCAGGTCCTTCATCTTGCACCGTTCCTTGCTGTCAAGGTTCTGATACTTTTGGACATACACAGGCAGCCTTTGCATCTCTTGCTCCGTGAGCAATGTTTTCAAAGCCACTTTGCCAGCTATCTCCACACGTCGTAAGTGCTGCCGGAAAGAGGCGATGTTATGGGCATCCTGCTGAACATCCTGGTCCGACGACAGCAAGCAGTCGCTGGGCCTGGGCTGCATGGTTTGGGAGCAGTTGAATTCAGTAAGGCTAGACAGTCAACTGAGTGCCCATGTGAAAGAAAGGCTGAGAGGGTCCGGGTCGCTTTAGAACATGTTCGCGCTTGAGCTGATTCTGAGTAAGCTCCAAAAGAACTCGGAGGTCCTGGGCATTCCCCTCCACTCGGTCGGGACGATGTCCAAGACTGTACAACCTGTCAATTGATGTACTTGGGTTTAGGATTTAGGGTTTAGAGGTTAGAGTTAAAAAGGTTAGGGTTAGGGCCTGGTGTTTAGGGTTCAGGGTTTAGGGCGTCGGGTTGGCGGTTTAAAGTTTAGGGTTTAGGGTTTAGGCTAGAGGGTCTAGGGTTTAGGCTCTAGGATGCATACACAAGTGAGTGAGTAGGGATATGAGCGCAAAAGGTGCCGGGCCTGTCCCTGCGCATGGCAGAGAAGCCGAACTCCTCTGGAGCCGTCCATACGTGTTCGAAGTTGAAGCTGGGAAGACAGTCAGCCCGAAACCATTCAGGACACGCCGGAACATTCTCAAAACACACCAAAGCTGTCGAGGTTGTCTCGGCCTTCGTTCCATACGCGATGTGCGTTCCTGCAGTGGGTCCATTTTCCCCGCGACGAAGGCCTGCAGAGCTGAAGTCAACGCACGGAGGACCGCCTACCCGAAGCAGGGCACCTGTGTCGTAAGGACAATAGCCCAAATGCCGAAGACAGAAACCTCGGTCGTACACTGTCGCATGATCATAAATAGCTCGCTTCTTCTCCCAATATGTCGGCTTTGTCTGCAGCAAGTCTGTCCATGTCCGGCCGTTGCCGAAAACGTCCATGATGTTTCCAAAGATACAGGTTTGCAGGGGTAGCGCATTCAGGAGGTAGGACTGGCAGTGTGGCTCCACATCCTCAGACTGCTTTAGACAGTAGATTCGAGGTCGTATTGCAGCTGAAATTATGTAGCAAGTGTATGATCTTCAATCCTAAAGGGTTTAGGGCTGAGGGTCTAGGGTTTAGGGATTATTTAAAGGTTGAGGGCCTGGGGTTTAGGGATTAAAAATAAGGTATAGCTACCGTGTAAGGCTCAGGATCCAAACTTGTACCATTAATTGGAGGGTCATAGGACATCTTAAAACGAACGACCAGCCAAGGAACACATGCCGATTGCGGGTGCAAATCTACAAGCAGCCCATGCTTCCGCAGGCCCCGGCTGATCATGTTCGCAGCCAGTTCCCAGCAACCGTGCCCGCTGAAGTCGGTGTCGGAACCCTCTGTGTTCACCAACGTGGAAGAACGGAGTTCATCTTGGGTCATTCTCTCCGAAAGGACATTCCAAACAACGTCGGTCCATGCGAAGCGAGCAGCCAACTCATTTGCGAACACCATGGCGGTTCCGTGTTCGCCGGGATCGGAGGTGACACAGATATTAGATTTCAGGTTGCAGGGTTCAGTGAGTTTAGGGAATAGGGTTTTGGGTTCAGGGTTTAAGGTTCAGGGATTAGGGTTTAGGGTGGATATTCAAATTTCAGCAGAGTGAAAGCGAATCGTTCCCCCGTAACTGATGTGTGAGTCTATTCGGTCTACTCGACCAACGCTCAAAAGTGAGACATGTCGCCTTGAGAATACCGCAACCCGCAGTGTAGCAGCCTCCTGCCTACGAAGTTGCAAGTGGCACGACCTGCTACCCCCGAAGCCAAAACTAAACTAATCCTACAGCCCCAAACCCTAAAGGCCTTGGGCGGCAAAGCAGCCCCAGCCGCGAGCTCTGGCGCCCACAGCGTGTAGAGGGCCATCTTGTCGTTTCCAATCTTGCCGGCATCCGTCAGGACCTGGGATTGAACACAGAAGGAGTGAACCGGAACTAGTCATGCTCTCTTCATGGGCGGCTTCGGAGACAAACATGACACAACATTGTCGTCCACGAGCGGCCTGCACATAGTTTAGATCCTTGAATTCCCGCTGCGCCCGGTAGATGTACGCATCCGCAAAGATCTGGCCGAGCAGCGACCCATGTAGAACACTATGAGGTCCCACAAGCCTACCCATATAGATAGAACCCTACAAGAAGGATCCCATTCAACGAACCCCAAGCCACATAAAAAGACCCTTATTGTTATAGCACCCTGGTAGTACCCTCAATTAAAGGAACCCTAGACAAGAACCCCAGGCTAGGATCAGCCCCCAAACAGCAACAGCACAGGATTTGGGGTTGAGGGTTTAGGGTTTCAGCTTTAGGGTTTAGGGATGACAGGCCTCGTGAGCCGCGGAGTTCCAAGCCGTATCTGACACCACTTCCCACGCTTGCTGCAGCGAGCGAACTTCAGCCTGAGCCATCCCTAATTACCCTAAAGCAAGCCGGCCAAAGGAACACGACATTCAAAACGTTTCGCTTTAAGTGCTATTGTTAGGCCTTCGCCCATTCGGCGGCTGCAAGATCCACCGTGACACGGGTTCTTGGAGGACCATCTGTGACCCGGCTGGACTCAGACAGATCTGCATTCTCACCAACAGTGCGCAGCGACGGTGAAATCAGTTTCTCAGCAAACTCAACGAGCATTCGAGCTCCACACTCTCGCGCTTCTGGCGGCTCTCTGCATAACAGAAATCCAGCGACAAGGGTGCCGGCAGAAGCAGACTCGACCTCTGCTGTCTATTTCATGGTTTGCATAGAATGGGACCAGAGTGAGTCTTCTTGAAATCTGGGGGTTGTTTCGGCATTGTTTCAGAGTATGGTGTTTACTGGCTTTCGGGGTGTGGGGTTTAAGGCTTAGGCGTATAAAAGCAATGGGGCAAGATGCTTCACTAGAGATGCACGAGTACTCCTCATCAGCCAGCGCCGCATGCCACCAGTCACGAAAGGACTGCCACCAGTCCAGCTGCGTGACATCGGCCGGAAGTTCGACCAACTTGCCTTCTTGGAAGGTCAACCTCACCTGCAATCTGTGGTTGGCAAACATGGCAAACTAGACACTAGAGGTGCTAATCTTTTCCTTACTGGTTTTAACCGTATTGTTCCCACGAACACTGTCTGACTGATGGTGTAGTAGCAGTAGTGGTCGTCATCAACGTCATCGTCGTCCTAGTCCTGCTGCAAACCGAGGCACATCCTGTCGCATCTGAACCGAAACCTGCTCGCACCGACGCCAAAGGAGCGGGTGATCGATCATATCGCAAAACATCTGTGCTGTTCTGACTTGATCCTCCAGATATCTCTGCTTGGATGTTGTCCATTGTAGCAGCTGGCACACAAAAACCGAAGTCATCATGTAGTAGCTCCGAAAGTGTCCGATGTATTCCGCAGGGCAGTACTGGTCATCGAACACAGCAGGGTCGCCGCGCCCCAAGGCTGCCTTCACCTGAAATGCGGCCAACATCCCCGGCAAAAATAGCTACAGGGACGTGTGTACAGTCTGTCTGATATGTTACATGTTGAAGCCACGTGGCGAAGTGTGGGGCACGCAAAATCAGAGGATACAGCCGCTCCATCATCGCGAGTGTCGACGTTTTGGTCTTGTTCAGGAGAGCGACCACTCTCCTGGAGCGGAGTCTTAGCACTACTTACAACATCAGTCATCTGACTTACAGTTGCAACCCACTCTCGCTGCAATGAGAGCTGATGGCATATATTAGGACAAGGATCTGCTTGGAGTCAGCGTACGCCACATCAATCACAGCACGGACATCCAGAAAAACAGAGTGGCGCGACACTGGCAGACCTATGATCTCCACGCCCGGCCACGAACCGTGCGATGGGAAAAAAGAGAACCATGGGTCGCCCATCTTTCTAAAGGCCTAAAGTCTAACACAAGAATTCTGCTGGGTACTTCTTTGGTGGCTACCCTTAGCCTGACCTCTGACAGCAATGACATGCACTTTACTCGACTGTCGTTTGGTTTAGAGTTTAGGAAATTAGGGTTTTGGGTTTTGGCCTGAGGTTTTCCCAAGGGTTGAGGTTTTGAGGGTGTGGGCCTTAGGATCTAGGGTTTAGGGCTTTAGGTTTGAGGGCTTTAGACAGAGTCGTTGGCAGCATTTGCAAAATGCGACACTGCCGCAGCTGAAGAGGCGCGGCACAAGATTGTACCCTGGCATAACACATGTCAGCTCTCAACCTGTTTAATCAATCGTTGCCTCATTGCCAACACTCCAACAGAACCAGTCCGGGACTATCTTAATCACGGGGCACCTAGGAGCGAGAATAAACTCGATCATAGCTCACGACCATGCAAAAGATAAATCTGATCACTGGTACGCACACATCGCGGATTCAAAACACAGCGGATTCAAAAAAAAACATATTACATTAGGGGAAAGAATGGAAGCATCTAAGAAGGAGAACACCGAAAGAAAAAAAAGAGCTGCCCACAGGACCTACTCGCTTGAGGTTATGTTCTTTAGCTATGAGCGCGAAAAGAACAGAATGAAATCATCATTTAAAGATAGTAGGGGTGACCCCATGTATCCATTTTTTACAGAGCCCAAGGTGGCTA